GCTCCCAGGTAAAATAGTGTGCTATTTCCTAGTTGACCAAGAAAAAAAAGTCCGCTATTTTCCTTAACTAAGTCAATTGGGTTATAATGGGCCCCTTTGCCTTGAATAAGATATCAGTATGGGCTTGGATGGGCCAAAAGATATGACAAACCCGTTTAGAAACTTAGGGTTTATTTTTCCCAAGTATAAACGCCGCGGCTTCTCACACTTCTTCTCCTCCGTTGCCGCACTTGCTTTGCTTCTCCTCAGGTAAACTCTCTCTTCCTCGTTTTGCAGATGTTCTCTGTATAGCCGATGCTTTGTTTGGCTGATGATTAGTCTAGAAACCATGAAGATCGTAATAGTGAATCTGTAGTTTTTGCAAACCCTAGAGCTCGTGCTTACTGCACATATACCATAAGATGGTTCATTTCGTAGGTTTTCCTCTTAGTTTCGCTGATTGATTCTAGATTCCTCTGAGCTTCTCTCAAGCTGGGTATAATTGTTTTGCTGATCTATTTGTTTCCAACGAATTCAAATACGTATCTTGTCTGTAATTTTTGTGTGTGTGTGTGTTTTTTCATTCCTTTGTTCTCTTGGGTCTTTCAGTAATTTGTAGATTGATAAATGCTTATAACGGATTCTCATGTTGCTTTCACTTGCAATCATTATTAATGATCTCAGATTTTAGCATAATTCGTCATTGTTGGCACGCACTAGCGTGCGTAACATAACATTTTTCGTTTTTATTTGTAGTCTTTGGATTTAGATTCTGCCTACTTTTCAAGCTATTCTTCAAAGATGCAGAACGAAGAGGGAAAGAATACTGAGCTCTACATTCCTAGGAAATGGTAATTGAAGATTTCTTCGTTTATTGGTTCTGTTATTGTTTTTTGGAAAGACCCATTTATTAAGACATTGGTTGGCTTTTGTTTGGTTGACTGATTTTGCAGCTCCGCCACTAACCGGTTGATCCCAGCAAAGGATCATGCCTCTGTGCAGCTCAACATTGGTCATTTAGATGCTGATGGTATCTACAACGCACAATTCACCACTTTTGCTCTCTGCGGCTTTGTTCGCGCTCAGGTTTGTAATACACTTATCCGTACACTCTTATTTATAAACAGTTTTCAACTTATGGTAGGAGGTATAAAATGTATCAGCTTTGGTGTAGTATTTCATTGGACTGACTGTTAATTGAACAATGAACGATTGCAGGGAGATGCGGACAGTGGCATCGACAGGCTTTGGCAGAAGAAGAAGGTCGAAGCCAAACAAAGCTAAGAGCTTAAGCTATCTTTTTTGTTATTTTGCTATTTTAAAGATTATCAGACATAGTTAAGTAATGATTTTTGCTAGACTCTTGGGACTTGATGCGTTTGTGCACACTGGCTTGTTCTAATATCTTCAGTTTCTCCACTCTTTCTCATTCTGAAGTTTCAGATTTCGACTCTTATTTTATTGCTCAAGTTTCTTTCAAGTCTATCCGTCATTCATTACGTTCCCTTGTGATATAGGCAAACTGTATGTTTTGATAGACTGATTGCCAATTTCGAATTGTTTCAAATTATCTATCAGAGGCGCATTACTTGTTCTTGCACTTATGCAGAGCATGAATTATAAGAATTGGCATTTGTACTCTTCAAATTAAATGCAGGCCCGGCCCAGGCCCATGGCAAGCAGTGCAAGTACACTGGGCTATGTGTTTAAGAAAAAATTTGGCCCGAATTTAGAGCCTTTTTAGAAAAAAATGAAAATATTTGATAAATTAGGACCATTTTTCATCATATTTACTGAATAAAGCCCAAATAATTTTTACCTAGCTCGAGTTGGGCCCAAATGTAAAACTCCTTTTGCATAGTCAGCGAAATGTCGAACCAAATGTTATGATAAACGTTTTAAAAGAGAAATAATGATTCTTGCAGATTCAAAAATGACGGCATATATCTGTCTAATCTTCTTTCTAAATGCGATATATTAGTGATTTGTTTTTCTAAACTGGAATAAGATTCTCATTCTCGGTCGGTTCTCTTTTAATTATTATCAAGAATTGAAGGATCATTGAAATGTTTTACGTCAGTACTGTATTGGTTACGGTTTTAATTCCACACGTTAAAATGAAGTGTTTTTTCCTACTTATTTTTATCAGGAAAAATACAATAGTACTTTGTATTAAACTAAACATGTAAGACCAACCCAACAATACGATTCCTTGAGGGCACTATTACATATTCTTCTTCATCAGATATGCTTTAGGGAAGCATCTCATTTCCCACAAAACCCAAAAGTCATACTTCTCTTCAAACTTATCTTTCTTTCCCAATTATTCTTATTCCCTTTCAACAAAAAAAATCTCTCTTTTTATTTCTATCGGAAAAAAGATTTATTCTTCTCTATGTCTAATTATTCTCCTCAATGTTTATTCTAAAAGTTGCACCCAAAAAACGATATTCGAAAATAGTACCTCACCTCACCTCACCATGCCACTTCAATATATATTATCAGGGTATATTGGTTTTTGATCGATAACCAATTGAGTGATAGAACAATACCGTATGTTGTAGGAATTACAATTTTTGTACACTACAAGAAAACAGGCAAAATTCCGACGGTCAAATCCGTCGGAAAGCCGTCGGAATAAGCCCTATTCCGACGGCTTTCCGACGGTTTTGACCGGTCGGTTCTATCTCGTCGGAATTCCGTCGGAAATACTGACGGATTTCCGAGGAAAAAGAAATAACCGGAATCCGTCAGCATTCCGTCGGAAATCCATCAGTATTTCACTGTCCGACGGATTTCCGACGGCTAAACATACCGACGGATTTCCGACAGATAGATATACCGACGGATTTCCGACGGATAGATATACCGACGGATTTCCGACGGATACAT